CTGATGCAGAAAAAGTCTCTTATTCCAACATTCAGGTGTTAGCATTCTAAGCAAACACTACAGGCATGAACAACGGCTTCAGGTAGAGGTCCGAACTAAATGGGACTGGAGGCACAGAACTTTGAAATGAAATTTTGTAAGTGCTTTTCATTTTTGTTTTATTACCAATAATCTCAGCCTCATTCTCAGGTTTAGATGAGAAAAAAAAATCTCAATGTAGTCTTTGCTATTTAAGGTTTCACAGTAGAAGTCTTCATATACATTTCTACTAATGTTTGTTACAAGTCAAATATCACCTTCTTTTTTCATCAATAACTTCGTAGCCCCCCATTCCTTCCTTCCACAGATATCTTCAAGTCCACAGTGTGAGACTCTACTGTTAAGTTTGAGTAAAGAGGAGGTCAGTTCATGCTTTGACACTTACGTAGAAGTGGTACAAAATAAAGCAAACATATGCTACAAGAAATTCTATTTGAACTCTGAAGAAGACCACATTTGCCAAGTGTGTGTGTGTGTGTGTGTGTGTGTGCATGCGTGCATGCATGTGTGCATGTGTGCATGTGTGTGTGGTCTGTAGAAACATAAAGAAGTTAGGACTAGAATGAAACAAACAAAGCCCGAGATGAATTTGTGAAAATGCACAGAACCTTTTTACCTGTGACCGAGAGGGTAGAATGTAGTTATATAAAAGGGCAAAGCACTGAAAGGCTTTGTGCAGGGAAGCACCATGACGTGATTTATGCTTTGAAATGTGCACCCCAACAGCTGTGTGGAGGGCTGACAAAGGAGACAAGAATGCAGGCATCAGTAACAAGCTCTTTCTGAAATGAGAAAAGGTGGCCGTCTGAACCAGCACAAGAGCAGTGAAAATGATTCCTTTTCGAAAACCTCCTAAAGGCATTGTTAGCTGCCTTCCTGGAAGCTACCCACCCCATTTCAGCCCTTACCAATAATGCTCAGACATTATCTGACATATGGAAGTCAAGGTTGGCCAGCTGTACTCTGATATCCCATTCCTGTCATTATCCCTTCCCCTTCCTGGTATCCACCACTGCTCAGCATGTCCTGGTGGTCCAAAAAGACTTCTCAGAAAGCCAGCTGGGATATGTCTGCCAAGTATCTTGCTTTACTGCTGATAGAAGGGAAGAAATTCTATCCAGCTCTGCCTTCAACCAAAACTAGATGGAAATGGTAAAAGAGAAGAGGATGTGTCGTCCAGTGTGTTTGTGGTGGACAGGCATGTCTGAGCATCTCTGTGATGATTTACTTTTCAGGTGTTATCATGCTGTATTTACATAAATGGGCAAGTACACTGCCTAAACTCTTCTGAGTTGTGTGACTACAGGACTCCCATGTGGAAAATCATCTGGGGCACAGAGCTAGTTTGCAGAATACCATGATGGAAAGAGTAGACAAAAGTATGGCTGAAGGGAGTAGGGGGCTATCAGGGAGACCATGACCTCTACAGTGTTTCCAGGTTCTTATCACTGCCAGAAAAAGAACTCGGACACATGATAAAGCAAAGAACTAGGAGAGAACCTTGAACACACAACAAAAGGATCCACTCAAGAGAATAGTGTAAGCTTCTTGGGTCAGTCATGTCAGTCACTAGGGGTAGAGGACCAGCATTTTTCCAGGAAAGCTTCCTGGAGCGATGGCTTAGAGTTCACTCCTCTTTTCTGTCATTATGCAGGGGTTTAGGCAAGTGTTGTGGAGTTACATAATGTCTGCTAGGAACACCAATTGTGAAAGGCTAATGACAGAGGGATGTCATTATAATGAAGCAGAGGACACTTAGTATATCCTCTACGTCTAGAAAGTTGTCCCAGGTGGTTCTAGCAAGGTCTGAATGTCACTTCTGTGACAGGAAGTCCTATGGTAAAAATGTTCTGCTTAGGAATCAACCTCTAGACACCATGAAATTGCCTCTTCCCCTATGGAATCCAGCCTGCCTCAAAAAGCAATTTGATTTATAGCATCAAATAACATTCTTCAAAATCATGGCACATCAGTGGTGTGCTTAGAAAGCCCGCAGCAGGCTGCAGACATCTAAAGACATAGGTGGTAAAGCCCGAGATGAAAAAAGATCAACTGCTTGGGAAAAACTACTAAAGGAAATGTTTGATGTTAGGATCTGAATACTTAGTCTTATTTATCATCAAGAATTAGAAGAGTTTTTAAAAGTCGAGTTCCAGTAAAGACGCAGGTAGAAATTTTTTCCCCAGATCCCCCCTTTTATTATTAATTAAACTCATTATAAACTTGAGTTTCTATGGAAACTCTTATGCACCTCCTTCTCCTTGGAAGAGAGGAATGGAGGGAAGGAGGGAGGGAGGGTGGGCGGAAGAAAAGTAAATGAGCAAAACCTTTCATTAAAGGTAGTTCAGTTTGTGGTATAAAAAGCATTTAATTGACTTTAAAAATGTGAAACTACCCTAGACATTGTATTGTGACAATGTCCAGAGACAGGATTTTAACACAATTCATTGATTCTGGTAATAAAAGATAGAAAACTGTGAAATTTTATCTCATCATAAAAAAGATTAATATGGCTTATAACTAAATGTCAAAATAGATTTCATTACATAATCTAATTCAATTTCTCAGATGCTCTGAGATGTTGGTAAAAAGGAACAATTTATGTTAAGCATCTCAGTTCAGATTTCTTTTTCTTTTTTCCTTCCTTCCTTCCTTCCTTCCTTCCTTCCTTCCT